GACGGATATGTATTAGGTTGTCTCATAAATAGTGTCGCTTTTTTTCAACCAAAAAATTTTCATCTAAATCCCCATGCTTTTACATCGAGTCATATACCATTCGAAAGAGAATTGTCTGCTCTACAAGATGTGTGTTCTTCTTCCATCTATGTTCCATGGTTTTCAAATTTTAGGCCTGCGAAATGGGAGGTCCCGCCGACAAAAATTGACCAAACCGACAACTAGCTCTAACTTTATGTTCCCTTCGGAGAAATCAATCAATGATGTACCCTCTACTTACTCATGACCTCTTCTGAACATTCCACCCTTAGGTTGCCGAAAAGGTTTTGCCCTGTTTCTTTTCGAATTGGCCGACCGAGTGTTACTTCGTGACGTTCATCCGACAATGTGTAGAATCGTCGAAGGAAACGTCCAAAAAGTTCGATACCCCTTTTTAGGATTTGGAATTGTTGAGAATTTTTGTCATTAGTTTTGATTTTTCGGTTCCGCTGTCTGGTGCGATAGCACCAATTTGTGCTTTTGTTGTTTTTTTAAACAAACTTGTGTTTTCTAAGACTGTGCTTTGATCCAAACTGTGTTCACCACACTAGTGTCTTGCAAACTCCTTGTCGGCGGCCCTCCGCCGATCTCATGTTATTTTGATGCCTTAAGGATAAACTTTAGTAAATAATAAGTCTTTATACAGAAGGAGGGATTTAGCACCTTTCGCTGCGTGCGCTCGCTTACTGGATCGTGTGATTCACAGGAACGTTTGTGACCCGGTGGAGAGGAAGATAAAGGAGGCATTGGAAATACGAAAAAGGAGCCCACAAATTAATAACAGAGAAGAACTGCGAACGGCAGTGGGATTGCTCGTTACATGGTGAAATGACAAAACGAAGGCATATGCGGAATGATCTATGCTAAATCGCAAGGTATAAAGTAATGCTACGCTACCCTTGCTAACCCTCATCTGACTGTCTCATTTCATTTCGAGTGAGCAGCCAGAGAGGTGAGCCCTCCTTCACGTAGCCCTTTCCATCCTCATCCCACATCATCTGCATCAATACCTGGAGCTCCCGGGACCAACCCTCCCTTAAAGGAATCTTACGCGGAAAAATCATGATTCTATTTCAGCCATAAATCACTGGCTTGAGACTCATTATCCACGATAATAGTGAAAAGAACTGAAGTATTGCTTTCGTTTTGATTAGAAATTCGAAAACTCGAAAAGGCTGCTACGCGTTCGAATTGCCCACGGACGTCTTTCACGAATGCTGGCGACGGGGATGCTCAAACTTGGTTCTTGGAGTGCATTCACTAGAAGCTCTTTCTGGCCTTCTGCTTCGTTGCATTCACATCTTACACTTCTACTCCATCCTATTCCATCGATCGATTTGTCTCCAATCTCCGAAATCGCGCGCTTTAACCCGATTCTCCTCATTGCGTCGCCTGGTACGTGTCCCTAGCCGGTTTCGCAGTACCGCCGTCTCTAATTTTCCCATCGCCTCGCCCGACGGGCTTCAATTGCACTCCACAAATTCCAAATTTGGCCCCTGCCATGGAATAGAACCCCATAAATACGAGCATGGTCGGCATAAATACGTAATAACTTATGTTTGGGGCAGTATAATGTGTCTGCTTAACAAGAAAAAGCACACCTTTAATCTTCCATCGGAACAGCAACTAGATTACATACGTTGGTTGCTATTTTCCAGTGCTGCGACAAACATGCTAACGGGATAATTCCATGTAGGAAAAGCAATGAGAACTTCGTCGAGTGCGCCAGATTCGCTTTAAACGACTCACCATGTTTTTCCTAAGTTCGTCAGTTATTGAGTCTTTTTCATTTTCCAATGTATTGTATTGATCACATCTTGATTGATTGTTGATGTAAAATTAGCATGGTGACCTGAAGAAGGGCTTAAGGCCCGAAACGTCGTCATATAAAAGATTTTTAAGAGTTTCATATCAAGAACAATTGAAGAACATATGTTAAACTATGTTGAATGGGGAGCCTTTCTCTGCCAGAGGTTTTTGTTAGCACACTAGAGGTCAATCCGTCGAGTTCGCTGCACTTCCTACACTTTGATTTGTTTTAAGAGCATGAGAAATCCTCTGAAGGGATTTTCGCTTGTGCTCACTGGGACCTGACGTACGTATCTTAGGCCGATGTCATAGTTTGCGAATCGAGCGATTCGCTAGCGAATCGCTCGATCCGAGCGTTGCGCCAGCGAATCGAACGTTGCACCAGCGAATCGAACTTTGCGCCAGCGAGTCGAACGATGTACCAGCGAGTCGAACTAGGTACCAGCGACTCAATAGTGGCGGGACCCAACGTTCAAAAGGAAGCCCGCCACTTTCAAACAGTGTCCACTGTCAACTCCCGCCACTTTCAAACAGCGTCCACTGTCACGTGACACTGTTTGAAAGTGGCGGGCTTCCTTTAAAGTTGGGTCCCGCCACTATTGAGTCGCTGGTACCTAGTTCGACTCGCTGGTACATCGTTCGACTCGCTGGCGCAAAGTTCGATTCGCTGGTGCAACGTTCGATTCGCTGGCGCAACGCTCGGATCGAGCGATTCGCTAGCGAATCGCTCGATTCGCAAACTATGACATCGGCCTTATGGTTAGTACCCTTGCTCCATTGGCCAAATACGACCCCATCATTGTTCTTTCTATTCGCAACGTTCGGTTGACCCTGGATGTGAGCTACTTTTCGCTTAGTAAGTTGAACGTGCGAGGATGCAATAGTCAGAGGCCACTGTTCCGGTTGAGAACGCACCCGGTATACCTTGACTTGTTTGAAGGACCGAGGGTGCTAAACATAGTTGGGGGGAGGGGAACCACGTGGCGGCGCAGCGCTTTGTTCGTCTTCCTCTCCAAGGCTTAATCCGCGGTGCTACTGAATTTCGAAACTGCCACAGTGCGCGAGATAGTACGACTCCTAGACCAAGTCTTTGAGTTGCAGACGAATTGAACGTCTGCCGCCGCCATCCGCCGCCATCCCCATCCCCAACATCTAAGTTAGCACCGGATCGAGTTCAAGTCTTTCGCAGAAGGAGCGCCAGTGCGACCGCTCCGAATAATTTTGCTTTAAAGGTTACCAATTTGAGCTGTGGTGTAGGTCCTAGCGCGAACGGATTGGCCATTCCGCTGAATTCTTTTGAAATTTGTGTCTCCACCTCTAAACTTTTCTCCTCGATTGTTCTCGCAGTTTGCAATGAAGCCCATTATCTTATTGGAGTTTTTTTTTCTAAACCAGGGGTTGATTGCAATTTAGATGTGTAGCGACCTTCTAGTGGTAGCCAAACTCCCTGAGAATTCCTTTCATCGTTTGGGATTTGCGCCTAACAAGTTGTTTTAAGATAAAATGGCTGAAAACGCTACTGCTTCTCAACCCACTCGACTGGCCCCTTCAGAAATGACCAGCAAGGATTATTATTTCGATTCATATGCTCATTTTGGAATTCACGAGGTTTGGACTTCGTTCTTCACATGTAAGCAGTTATTTCATTGCTACTGATGTACAAATTTTCTAGGAAATGTTAAAAGATGAGGTTCGAACGGTCACTTATCGAAACTCAATCTATCACAACAAGCATCTTTTCAAAGATAAAATAGTAATGGACGTAGGATCCGGCACAGGAATACTTTCGATGTTTGCTGCTCGTGCGGGTGCGAAGAAGGTTTATGCTGTGAGTTATGTATTATTCCAGCATGGCAAATGATTTACACACTCAGCCCTGATCTTATAATTACTAGAATATATTTTTTTCGCAAGAATAAAATACATAAATTCATTCAAACTACTCTTAGAAGCATTTGAAGTAAGGTGAAGTAACGATGATGTGTTTAGATGGAGTTCTCGAATATGGCCGCGCAGTCCCGTCAGATAATAAAGGATAACAACCTTGAGGATATCATCACTGTGATCCAAGCGAAAGTCGAGGAAGTTACCGAGCTTCCCGATGGTTGCGAGAAGGTTGGAAATTTTTTTTTCTTCTCGGTGATTGCTCAAAGCATGAAAATTCTCCAAGGTGTTGCTTAAAGAAACAGTCCCAGCAGGGTTTTTACCTTCGACACTAATGGTGTGGAACGATGCGCTAGCCCTAGTCAAGAACATAAGAAGTGTGACTGAACAAAAAACTCACCTTGGAAAGCCGCTAGAAAGGGAGCTGAACGGCTTCGAAGTGGGCGTGGTTGGAAATCGGCCGAGGGATTGCAGCCGATTTCCAACCACGCCCACTTCGGAAGCCGTTCAGCTCCCTTTCTAGCGGCTTTCCAAGGTGAGTTTTTTGTTCAGTCACACTTCTTATGTTCTTGACTAGGGCTAGCGCATCGTTCCACACCATTAGTGTCGAAGGTAAAAACCCTGCTGGGACTGTTGCACATGTGTCTGTTGACTGCACATCATCAAACTCGTTCGTCACGCAGGGTGCCTTTGATGAAAGTTTTACGGCAAAATATTCCTTAGGTGTCCCCCTTAACAGAAGCAGGCCCTCCTTCACTGCCCCACCGTCTTCAGAATATGACGTCATCTGCCGTCACCGTCGAGCTCAACGAGGCTTACCGTAATCGCTCCGAACTGAAGCTGCTTCATAAGTTCATCAGTTGGTTAACACATTGGCGACCAAGCAGTTTTTGGGTGTTCCCGAAAATTGCGTCCTAATGCTGAAACGCTTCCATACGGTGTACATACCAAATCAATGAGAACACAATGCGGAAACTGCTGAAACATCATTTGTCTCGTACAAATGCTTAATGGCTGCAAACCAAGCAAAAATCTCCCCGTCCCGCAAAGGTGAAACTTCGGAACGCTCTCGGAAAATTCCAATTTTCCACTGTAGAATCCACAAATGAGGTTGACACAAATCTCTTTTTTGCCAATTGTTGTATCATTGAGCTAGCTAATAGCATACAAAAGGCAGCTTTCTACATCAAGAAAGAACAACCTTATCACTGAAGAAGCAATTCCAAGCAACCCTTCTCTAAAACTTTCACTGTGAAAGATGTTCAAAGAACGTGGCCATTACAAGTTTGACAACGTATTCCGGGTTAATATAGCACCGCTCAAAATTTGGAATATGCGCAAAGGAATAAAATTCAAGGGGTGTCGCCCGCCACCGGGCGACATTGTCGTCAATGGTTAACTGGTGGATAGCCTCCTAGAGACAGTAGCTCTGTATGCAAGATCGCTCTTTATCAGCGTTTCAGATGAGGTCGTAATGGTTCACGAGCCGCCGACGACCTCGTTGAGCTCGGACCTGCACCATGTTCTCAAAACAAAATTTTTGATGCTATTGGAGTAGAAGGCTATTATGAAGTTCCTCGATAGATGTGAATATTGTGTTTTTTCACTCCAAGATAGACGACCGGTTTATTGTGGTCCGGGTCTGCCTATATAGGGTGGGGCATGGCTGACTATGGTTAGAATTTATCAGCTCATTCCTTCACACAACACTCCAATTTCTAGTTCGGAACATTAGGTTCCAATTTAGCATGTGTGATTAATTCTGTTTCAAATGTGGAGCGAAAATGACTTTTTTCGCCTCCCCCCCCCTTCATCTAGGATGCATAGTAGCCGAAATTGGTCCGAGTAAGAGTATGATGAACTGTGCTTAAACCTTTTTTCACTTCTTCTTTCAAAACTTCTATTCTCATTGTGTTATGTTCAAGGTTGACGTGATCATATCTGAATGGATGGGATATTGCCTCTTCTATGAGTCGATGTTGAACACTGTTATTTTCGCACGAGATAAATGGCTAAAGGAAGACGGTCTAATATTCCCGGACAAGGCCAAATTGTACTTATGTGCGATTGAAGATCGGCAATACAAAGAGGATAAAATCCACTGGTTAGTTCCTACGCTGTCGTTACTTATGCACCTGGGCAACAGTCTTACTTTCAGGTGGGATAATGTTTACGGATTTAACATGTCTGCCATTCGCAAGGTTGCCATTACTGAGCCACTTGTCGATGTTGTCGATAATGCGCAAGTAGTAACCAATAATTATTGCATCAAAGAGGTAGAGATTGTCCCGATCAACGGTTGTCGAATATTAAAAAGCAGTTGAAAAATATGTTTAAAGATCGATCTCTACACCGTCAAGGTCGAAGATCTGACGTGGAGCTTCAGACTTCCAGTTGCGCTGTGCCAGAAACGACTACGTCCAAGTTAGCAGATTTCTTCTCTGGTGAATATTATGAATACTATCGTTATGGCTGAGAATGACTTTAGGCACTAGTCACCTTCTTCACAGTTGAGTTCTCGAAGTGTCATAAAAGAACTGGATTCTCAACGGGACCAGATGTTCAGTACACGCACTGGAAGCAGACTGTTTTTTATCTCATGGTGTGTTTTGGATCATTGTTCACTCCGTTAGGTTGCCAATGATGCCAAAGACTTTTTCTTAGGATGCGCTTACCGTGAAAAAGGGTGAAGAAATAACAGGCAATTTTTCTGTGACACCGAATGCCAGGAACGAGCGTGACCTCGACTTCAAAATCAAGGTTGGTTTCTCCTTAAGGAGTAGGACATCATGGCTATTGTTGTTTTACGCTAGGTTTCAATCATCGAAATTTTTACACGCGTGCATGTTCTGCACATCATCCATTACTTTTTTGCCAACTTAATATTTCGTTTAATGAAGGTGAAAGGGTTCAGACGAATTCAACTTGGCACAAAGATTTTAGAAAGGGAATCGTTGTAGTGTTCTAGATGCTTTATTCTTCCCACTAATTTTAAAGGGCTAAAGTGTAAGATGAAGTGGCCCTTTGATTTGCTAGAATTTCTCAAAGCTGGTACTCATCCGGGGCCGTTCCTATTCTTCCTGCAAGGGGACGCGTCCCCCACCGCGCAGGGTTGCGTCATAGGTTTAGAAGTACCCGGCGTTTCTAGATTTCAGAAAGCGCGACTCCCTAGAGAAAAGAGTGGTTCAACGGGATAGAATAGTTACAACATCGCGCGTTGAATAGTGGATCCTGTGACGCGACCCCCGTCCCTGTCGTCCCTGTCTCTCCAAAGCTTAGGGCAAAATAAGCAGCGGAGGACGCATCCCTTTAGGGGAATGATGCGGCCCCTGTTGCTCTGGGCATTGCCGCATTATTTACCTGTGCAATGGTCGGAACTTAAGAATGTCCTTCATCGAAACATGGGAGCGTAAGAGGCGAAACGCAAGGGATTCGTGACTCAGTGGTCCACTGAAGTGCATAGACGTGGTTAGGAAACAAATCACGAAGACATCCCGCTCACCTCACGTCTGTGCAGTTGCTATTATTTTCAAAATGCTGGAGAATCGTTTCAAAAGCGCTTTCATTCTGTATTGGAAAAAGGAGAAGGAAAAGGTGCCCTCCGCCCCCAAATTCTCGGTTGCGAAGTAATCATATAGTGGAAAATAGTAAGCTCTAGCGTTGCCGTGGTGGCAACCTCAATGAAAACTTTCTATTTCAAAAAAGTTCCTGGTTGTATAGCAACAAATGTTTCAGGTGGACTTCCATGGAGATGTTTGCGAGCTTCGCGAAGAGAATGTTTATACAATGCATTAAGACTGGCGCCAATTGGAATGAAGCCTGGCGTACTATTGCTTGAGTCTTTATGTTCACTTTCTAATCCTTACTTCTTTGTATAGAAAAATGAGATACGCAAGACTGACGTGTTGCTTCTGTTGATCTTTTTACATTTGATCGTCATCGTTAGCAAAATTCGGCGTGTTGTTGTTAAATCGTTTTGCCGCGCGCCTTGAGCACTTAAAATGATTCCTTCTTAGCACTTTGACAATCCAGGTGTGCTTGCCGGTAGAAAAAGTCTAATATCCACATTCTTTGTTTTCACACGTATCTTGCCTAGAACATGTGTAGAATTGGTGGGACTGCAATTCACATTTGTGTTTGTGGGTGTTTTCAGCAGAGTTGGAGTTGATAGGCAATAATGGTGTCGTGCGAGTTGGTCTTCTTTCTTGTTTCACGTGTGTGTATTCTGCTTCGTTATTTGTGGGCTGTGTATGCTAAGTACAGCTGCCTGAGTGTTATATTATCGTTATGAAAAGATTTTCGTTGAATTATTTGATAGAGGATCTGATTGGTGTACAATCCATTCGAGGAAATACTGATTATTGTTCGACAGTTGAGAATTGAGAGCATCCACTGGTGGTGGCCATAGCGGGGTTCTTTTTATTCATCGATGCGTCATATACAGTGTCAAAAAGGTGTAAGGTTATGGTTCTTGTACCAAAGGGTCCCCCGTACTAATGTGCCGTGCAGTTGCGTAAATTGACGTGGCATGGAATTAAAATTTCTAAAGCACGTGTGGTATCAATTTTTCTTCGAAGATTTCGCCACTTCGTGGTTGCTGCGAGAGATAGAGAGTATTTAGCGACTTCTGATAAGAGCGCGCGTAGTTAAAGGTGACAAGAGGGTGTACAGAGTTGGAAAAGTATTTGTTCGAGTAAGGAGGGAAGGGGAAGGGTCGTGCGGTTTCATGGGAACTATTATATTCAGGAATTTTAAGGAGCTAGGGAGCTTTACGGTGGGTAGTCTTTGTTGCAAGGAGAGAACTAAGCAAGTATTGTTCTCTTATACGCTTGCAATACGGTGAAATGTGGGTAGCGGTTTTTAGACCTTTGAGTGTTCTGAACCAAGATCCTCTCTTATTGAAATAGCCATCTAGTCAGTAGTCGACAAAAGACTTGTATTTCACGAGGTAAATGCGGGTGCGGTCGTCGCAGCTATGGTAAGGTTAGACAGTTCCTCTATTTCTGAGATTTCCGTAATATTGCTGGCTGTGAAATGACTCACCATTAAGTTCTTTGTGAGCAGTAATTCAATAGCCATTATAAAAGTTGGGGTAAAGTTGGGGCTGTGTGGATAAGCAGCTTCCAACATACATCGCTGGATATCAGCAAAGCATGCTGGCAACAGCTTATCCACGCAACTTCTATCAAGTGCACGGCGGTCACGTTTTCCGGTGACACGCCTACCCAACTCTGGATATCGACTGTATGTAACGACGAGAACGGAATCTAGCTAAAGGAAACAGTCTCGATAAATCCCATGGGCGAATGAGAAAAATACAGAGACGAGAGGTGGCGGTTCACGGGCGGTGGTGCCTCATCGGTGGCAACCTTAGGCCGATGTCAGACTTTGCGAATCGCGCGATTCGCTAGCGTCTGCGGTCGCGTCGCGGCCAGTGAATCACTCAATTGGCTGGTACCGCAACGCGACCGCGGACGCTAGCGAATCGCGCGAATCGCTAGTAGCGAATCGCGCGATTCGCAAAGTCTGACATCGGCCTCTCATCCACGTCGGAACCAGCGCGACTCTTCTGTAAAGAAGTTGCAAGTGGCGCAACTAGTAGGCCGCGTTCATAGTTTGCGATCTTGCGCTTTTCTGCGAAGTGAACTTGTGTCCGCATTGAAATCGGTCGGTCGCAGGATCGAAAAAAGGCATGATTGGTACGTATCCGTTTCTCGGAATACTGTCAATTTTTTAGTGTTCGCTGCGCAGTAAATGTGGGTTGTCAACTCTAGTAAATAATAGAGTATCCTAGATGTATCCCTCCGGCTCGAGTACGTTCACCGGCGGACCGGGTGTCGTGCGAAAGGGCGCGGATATTTCACTGGAAGGAGTCAATGAGTGGAAGATACAAGAGATTGGATACGACGGAGTAGAAAAATATATCAAGTAAGCGTCCAGCAGTTTATTTTATTTCCTTTATTTCTACCTACGGAATGCCGTCAGCTATCACTCGAAGAACTGCGATGGTGGTATTAGGTTCGATGAAAAGCGGTTTCACAGTTCTCGTTTCCTGTTCGGTGGGGAACTCAGGGTTTACTCGAACAAGTTATGATTTCTGAAAGTCCAAAAACCTGCGTTTACACGAAAAGAAGCAGACAAGCGATTCTCTTTGGAAAAACAAAGGTATAGGAAATTCTCCATTCTTAGGAAGAAAATCATGCGAACTTCCAGAATCTTCGTAACTTCTGCATTTGAAGGTCCCGCTTGTGCGCTCTCATGCATGAATTACAATGCTACTTTGAGAGCACTGGTGCACCGCAAATTCACAGTAACTGGTTTGTAACTGTAACAAGGGAGTTGTATCGAAATCCCCGTGAGAGGGAGGGGGGGGGGAGCGAAATTTTTTGGAAGAAGTGCGACGGTTGGCCCAGGTGGGCCTCAGAGGCTGGTCGAGAAGTTGTTTTTTTCAACAGCGAGGGGGGGGGGGTGCGGAGGTTCAGCCGAAGCTGCTTTTCTTTAAATGGTGAATTACCATACGATATTGATTTCATTTCCAGACCTCCTTCATTTTCTGACAATGTTGGGAAATTGGCACGACAGGTGGACTGGAAGAAGCTGATAGGTTCAGATGCGCTTTATGACAACCCAAATTCAATAAAGAGTGAAAATGAGGACGATGAGGTGAGCCAGTATTTGTTCTGCAATGAGTTATTTTTTTCAGTGTTTGTACAAAAGTGAAACTTTCTGAAATGTGTTCATGCAAGACTGTTTCAACAATGGTTAATTTTCTCATCAAAAGCTTTTATCGATCATTTGTGCCTGGGATAGAGATTTCGGAATAAGACTTGAGAGCAGTCATGTGGGCACTGCTGTTGAAGGGAACAGGCGGCTGAGTGAGTTAACGAGTACATTTCCTAAGGAAGAGGGAACGTGGTAAGATTGACCTTTGTAGCTGGATCTAGAGGGAAACTTCCTTGAGGAGGGTTGAGGAATTAATGGAGAATCGTCACATAAAAGATTTCTGATAAAAATAGTCTTTACGAAAGAGCTTTATATGAAGTCTATCGAAGTTAGACAAACGGCTCATAGGGTAATGGCTGCTTGAGAGAGATGGTTACCTTGCTGATCATTCACCACAACATGAACACGGTTAGGTGCATTGTGCCGTTTCTAAGTGTAAGAGTATGTATTGATGGAAAAGTGCTAACTGGTGCTCAATTATTCTAGACTGTTGAAAAGAAGTCTGTTGAAATTGAAGAGCGCGTTGTACCAGAAGCAGGTCCTTGGCATGGCGTGGCAAAGTATTTACAGTAAGTAAATTCCTCGATTATTTCCGTTATGTCTGTCTGTAAATTCAAAGTGTTCTTTGTTTGGAGTAGGTGTGATTTAGTGAGTCACTTCAACAGTTCAACGTTCTTCTTGACAACCTTGCAATCATGCGGGCTACTGATTACATGAAGCCGTTGACTATTCTTGATCCAATTCATGCGGAGTCAGCACCGATGCAGACTGAAAATGCCGCGGCAAGTAAAGCCACACAGTGGGTGTGGAAGCGAAAGGTTGAGTCGCAGATAGATTTGCTTTGTTGTGAAGATAATTGTGTATTTGATTCTGAGCGTTTTATTATACCTTACATCACCTTTCAGGCATTATTGGAAGCGATGAGTGTCCTTGAATTGGCGCAACGATTACGAAATGTTGAGGTTGAAGATGAGGTGCACCAGCAGAAAAGTCAATTCTTTATGTGCGTAGAACATTTATTTTTCTCTACTTTGTGAGGAACCTATTTTGAAAAACTCGTTTCGTTTCAGGGAGCTGACGAAAATGCGTGAGTATTGGAGGGTTAGAAAAACTGGTGATCACATCTATGGAGACCTTGGCTATCGCATCTGTAAGTATTGATGATTCTCAAAAGTAGAGATCGAATGAAAGCATGATAGGTTGTTGGCAAACATATGAGTGTATTTCTGGGTGCTTTAATCGAGAATTCAAGGATTTACCAAAATTGTCCTTAACCCATTCGCGACCGCGCGGGATTGCGCAATAGCAGGAGAGTCAGGAGATTTTTCTTCAATAAAATTTGAGTGGATGGAGATTTCCCTGCCCAGGGCTGGCGTAGATGAATGAGGGTATGAAGATTCTTTTTTCAGGAAAGAAAACTTTCCAAATTCCATTTGAAACACGGCAGCCACCGGTGGATACCATTGTCCCGAGTGAGATCTTTGTCAGCCACCGGTGGCTGCCATTGTCACGAATGGGTTAAAGATCAAAGTTTAGGTGTACATGAGAATTGCGTTCTTGAAAGTACTCCGAAGGAAAAGCTTTCAGCACGTTGACGGTACAGCGGTTTTCGTGTCTTCGCCCCGCATGGGTCCGACGTTTTTTCTAAAGATGTTCTAATACTTGAATGCAACTACACTAGAATATGTGCCAAATTTTGTGCGTGTGCGTAACTTTAGTCTGGAATGCGTCATTTTTTTTTGTAATTTTTGAACTTGAACGTATTGCTTTGGAAAGCATTTGAGCTTTTATTTTACCAAATTGCTACCCGAAGCGGTTTGCTTTACCCTTTCGGACCTGAATTTTTTCCGTGGAAAAATTTTTCTTCTAGCTATTGTTTATTACTTGTGAGCATATAAATATCATTATGGCGAAATTTGGAAGCTATTCGATCACAAACTAAGAAACTAGAAGCTTTGAAAATTGGCCCACCTTCTTAGTTTTTTTAAGCTTATGTCGAAACAATTCCAAATTTCTAGATATGTCGAAAAAGTTTATGATCTTGCACAACATTATATCGTTTTTGATAAGAAATTGAATATATGTCAAGTATTTTAGAAATGATTGACACTTACCTAGCGGCTTGCTGAGACCAGCGCCGATTCATTGTTGCACTTGTACACAAATACTTGTAATGCTAACAGCAACACACAATAAAATGGCAGGTCAAAGCATAATTAGGAAGGGGAAGGTCGTCTGTAGTAATCTCTACAGTGGGTAGTAGAAATATGCTGTTGCAGCGGTAATGCAGACATTTGAATTTGATTGTCGCACTTCCACCGCCAGGTCCGAAGGGGTTGAGTAAAACTCTTCAGTGATCCGATGTCAGCTGCCTTTTTTCTTGAAGATAGCTTTAATTATTCGCGGAACTTGCAGGACTTGAAACGATACTCTGATTTTGAGTTGAATACCTTTTTACTGTCATTTAGTTGGTTCAAAGTACAACCCGCGGGAACTGTTCGATATAACAAGAATATCGTTGCCTCCTGGAACTTCAATCGATGCAAACACAACTGTACTGCAAGTGAGCAACTTTCCTTGAAAGCTAAGTCTTTTCTCTGATCTTGCCTGGTGCTCTTCCAGATCTCTAGTTGTTGGATTTCATTTTATCAGGATTATCTTGATGTTCATTTGGGGAGCTTGTAAGGCCATAAAATTTTCATTGAAGGTGACCGTTCCTCGTGACCTCACTCGTCGCTCTACGTTGTCTGTATCAATAGTTAAAGGTGAGATTATACTCTTTCATCAGAATCCTTTAATTACACTACATTTGAATTTAGATGACTATACTAACCGTGATTTGTTCGCGAGTTTGGACGATCATCAGTTTGAATACATGAAAATAGACAACAGTAAAATTGAGTCTATTCATTGGAGCGATGCTCTCAAATGGGCTCAAGAAACTTTGATATGCAAGGACATTTTCAACACTGTGAGTGCTTTCTCCATTTTTCTCATTTTTTCCCATTGCATGGCAAGCAGTTCCTGATTGCGCCAAATTATTGCACCAAGCTATGGCATCTTTTTACTCTGCAGGGGTGCTGTGTTCCAGTGTTACCCAAAACAATTTGCCTTCGGAGTATGCGACGAGTGGTCTGACCTATTTGATTTTTTCACTAATTCAACACTTGTAACATGCCCATCGATTTCTATATGAAACATCTCGCTGAAGCGTTTAACACGTTGACGACAGCATGACGCGCATGCGCGTCAGAATTTCACCCGATTCTGGCTAGTTTTTTCGATTTATTTGGCATTTTTCATATTTCAAAACTGTGTGCATGCATTATCTTATCCGAAACTGTGCATCAATTACCAGTAGTGGAATTATTGAAGAAGTTATGACGATTGTGAAAAAAATAAACAAAAAGTGCCGAGGTACACGCACAAGGGGCTGTCGTCAACGTGTTAAAAATTGATATTTGATTATGATTTGGGCAGGGATTCTCCGCTGTGCGAGCATTGCCCACTGACAAGTGTTTTCTGAAACCTAGCTTTCTTTTAGAGTTGGTTCATCTGCTGCTTCACCACCGAAACAGAATCAACTTGACTTTACTGCTATCTCGAATTTGAGCTTTTAAGTTGCCCAGCCAAATGTTTAATGGGTAAATTTAGCTGTGCTCCGATGCTGTTCAAATGCGGAGTCGCTTATCTACCATTCGGGATGGAGTGCTGCTTGTTAGTCTATATAATGACTACCTTCTTCGAGTTGAGCTCAAATACTATCCATTCAGGGCGAGTTTTTTTTTTGTTCCAATAAGCTCAATGAAACTCTCCATCCACCAACATGTCTTTAATCGGTACTTAGTTTTTTTTTAAATTCCGTTTTTCATTTGCCTCATGTTCTCAACGTTTTCATGCATGCCTATGATGCAAGCCGTCATAATGTTGCGTGTCAATGACATCCTTCTCGTATGATTTATGATCTTCTCTAATTCAGGAGGGAGATCTACCAGAAGAAGGATGCCCATATTTGAATCGATCACTTCGCGAAATGATGGTTGCACAAGAGTGCACTCGGTGGGTACGCCCGCAAGCCTTTGTGTCTCTGCCATTGACAAATCTCAGTGAAGCACTTGATGCTCGTGGACCAAGAGCATTTACGGCACGAGAGGTAATCGCTGATCAAGGAAATCAAACTTGATTCTTGCAACAGTATGATTTTTTATAATCGTCTGAAGTTTTTGGTGTTTAACCTTGTTTGCTGTGCAACCGATGCGTAGATTAACACATTGCGTACCAAGCCGTTTTTGCGCTGGCGAGCTCGCATGGCCGCGCGTGCATTGCGCATCGTGCGCCACATGGTGGCGCATGCGGCCACACGGGGCAGACATTTTCGAAATTCCTTTTGTAGGGGTACTTTCTCACTTTTGTATTCTTACAATCAGATTAGGTTACAATTTTATGATACTGCATCATATTTTTGCCTATTCGGCTT